TAGTGCTATTATAGTTATATAAAGGGAATCTTAAATGGATGTCCACTGGACGTCCGTTTATGCACATCCAATGTATATCTTTGTATGGACGTACAATGGACGATCTTATTATGTCCATGGACGTATGGTAGTAAAATGAACGTAAAACGGACGTCCATAAGATGTACGGTGCTATTTGGGACTTTCGTTGTTTTTGTTTAAAAGTATCATTGCAGATACAATTGATACCGTTAAACGTTTGTTGTCGTTTCGTTCGGCGTTCATTTTTCTCAGCTGCCAAGCCCACTGTAGCGTAGCGCATAAGTCGCTCGGGAAATCGTTCCAAAATTCTCAAGCGCTCATGCGCTTTATGCGTGCATTAAAAAAACGGAACGATTTCGAAGCGTTGCGCATCAGTATTGCAGTCTACGCGCTTCATGCGTAATTCGGAACGCACCCTAGGTCAATGGGAACGCACCCAAGATGGGAAAGTTCAGTTTTAGCCATCTGGCAACACTGGCTGATCCGTATTGCGATATTTGCGATTTGTGGTTATGGTTATCACGATTTCGTGATCGCCGCGATGTACATGTACATATATCGGTTTATAATGGCATTTATTTTGATATCCAATTAATATTTTCTCGATAAGAAGAAAAGGGAGAGGAAAAATAACGTAGTAAGAGATGTTGGGCACTCTATGCGGTCGTCTGCCGCGCGAGTTGTTCTGTAACAAGGGGCCGTGGAGTATGATGAAAAATACATACAGCAGTGGAATCGGGACACGATTAATATTATCCAACAGATTCCACGTTGCCGGGCGTAATCCCGTATTTTCTCTTCTCGACATCAGGGTAATACATCCAATAATAATATTAAATGTTCAACTATGCCACTAGATTCTTTGTCCATTCAAGTGCTAATTATATAATTACATGAACATGTACACATGTATTTATTTCCATTATTGTATTTCTTCTATCTGAAGATAATAAATCCAGATACAATCGTAATTATCTTACGCAATGTTGTATTAAGTTTCGCGATTTTACATACAGAGAAATATCGTCGTTGAGATGCGACGCGATATGTAAAACATCATAATTGGATCTGAAGATTCGTTGCGAGTAATATGTTTGCAATTAAAATTTTTATCACTGCTTCTACAGATATAATAGCGCATACGCGATGGGGCGAACGTCGAGAAGACGCCGCCAGAAGAGGAGGCTTAATTCCGTAAAATCGAACGAGGACTCTGACAGCTCTTTGATACATTTAAAGTCCTGGCTTCTAAGCGAAAACTGCATGTCGATTCGTTATTTGATACCGGAGCACTTTCCTCTCATCGGCAGAGGCTTAAAAACGTTAAAGCGCATAGGCAGTGACGAAATACTGATTCAACTGCGCCTCAAAATGCTGTTGACAACCGATACCTTGTTGCAGAGTGACATCAAAACCATATTCCTGAGCAACGCCACTGATAGCTTCAGTCCCCAGTGTATGCTCGCGACGTTTCTTGTATTCGAGACGCATTTAGGGCTGAAGTCCAAGTGGTGTCTTTATCTGAGGACGCTGCCGCGGTCTTTCACGAATCCGGATTTCTGTTCTAACAAAGAGAGGAGAGTGCTGCCAAGCTTTATCTTATGTCCCTTGAGTCGAGCCCATAAGCTGCAGGAAGATTTTTCTTCGCTAATGAAATCTGTAACGCGCCTAGATACTAATAGAAGCCGCTGTCCCCATTGCGACGTGGATCTGCGACAGATAATAACATTCGCAAAATATAAATGGGCGTATTATGTCGTCAATACACGAGCAGTGTACATTAACGCTGACGTATGCAAAGGGGGTGCATTCAATGTGAAGCAGCCCAACAATTTAGCCCTCGCACCCTTCTTAGATTTATTTAATCACGACGTAAATACCGCTGTTAAAGTATCCGTTGTCGCGGACGATTGTCAAAATGAATTTTATCAGATTGTCACATTAAAGCCGTTTGACGAAGACACGCAGGTGTTCATTAATTACGGCGCGCACGACAGCCTCAAGTTGTACATCGATTACGGATTTTTTGTCCCATCTAATCCGCTGGATGAAATCCAATTTGACATCGTTGACGTACGGAAGTGCCTCGAAGTTTCGAGGAATAAATTGGATTTTATTACGCACAACAGTTTCGACAAGGGTATGTCATTCACTCGCGACGGCCTAAATTACAACGCGACCGTGACGTTATTTATAACGAGTACGAAGTTGAAGAGGGACCGTTGGAAATTAAAGATATACGGCGAAACGTTTGACAATGACGAATGGTGTGCAGTCAACAAGATAGGAACAAGTGTCTTGAACCTGAAGAGAACCGAGTATGCGCGTGCTTTAAGCGACATGAGAAATGTAAAACTTAAGAGTCCGAGCTTTTCAATCGCGATTAATGTCGTGGAGGAGTACGTTAATATCTTGGACGCGGCACTTGGTCGTATGAGAAAAATAGGAGAGAATGTACTGCATTAAATACTTCAATAATCCCTACAATATAATATGAAATACATTGAGAAAGTGCTTTTTGTACATATGTCTAATAAGAGCTTTTTACAAAGTATTGTAACGGAATAAATAAATTAAAATATTTCTCTAATTTTTTACTTATCTCATTGTGTGCAATATATATAATTTTTAAAATTATTTTTAACTTAAAACGTAAATTTCTTTACATACGTAATAACTTTATCGTATACATTTTGCATGCAGAACAATGGCAATGTGATCAGTTCCTCATTTGATTTTACACCTCGGTCATTGTTTCAAAGTCTTGATTAAACTAAACGTACCTGCGAATACATTTGTTACATGTTTATAAATATATGATTGGCGTACATTGGTCATATATGAAACTTAAATCTTGTATATTGTTCAGTGTTGTAGCGGCAATGTAATCGATCGTGCTCAGAAGAAGAAGAACGTACCGCAATCCAAGTCTGTCGTGCCACCAATAAAATTCGTATCGGTTGTCACTGGATTAACCGGGGCGAAGCCTGGCCAGCAAAAGAGAAATTGCTTCCATCCTGGCGTCTCTAGTTTGGGCAGAGATGCCATTGATTTACAAGACAAACCGTCGGTCACCAGTACGGACATGTTAAAAGCCATGCTCCAATATATTTGGCCAGAAGTGAGCAATATCACATTGTACAATCTACATCTAATCTTTTACATTGCATAATCTACATGAATTTTTCTGTTTTTTAACACCTCTTCTGCTTGTTTCAAATTCTCGGCCGTTGACCCTTTGATTTATTTTTACTTGACACGAGCGTTTGACTTGTTTGTTTTTTAATAATATTGTATCACTTAATTATATTGTATTGTTTGAGCAATATGTAAAATATTATTTGCCACATTTTTGTAGGATGACCCGGAAATACGGAAAAGGGTGAAAATAGCAGTGGGTCTACTTGTCGGAGCCAAGGTCTTGAATGTTCTCGTGCCGTTTATTTTCAAGTATGCGATAGATATTTTAAACGCCCATACCGCAGCAGTGTCCGGCGGTGCCGCGATGGCTTTAACGACCGCGCCTGCAACAGTTGCGACCATGGCAACATCGCTCCTTGTAGGATGTAGGGACACGTTTCATTTTGGAATACTTGATACTTTTTATGTGCGAGAGAGAATTCTCGTAATGTACACACAGTACCGGCCAAAATTATGTATCACCTTTCCACTTTTTCAGCACCTAACTTGTTCTAAGATGCACGGATCTTTATCGAATTATAACATGTTTTTATTATCAATTTTCACATTACATTTCATGTACATGCAAGATGCGTCTGTTATCGGGTGTTTACTGTAACGTTTTGGGCGCATTTGACGAAAGTTGTGCCCAGAAAACCTAAGGGTAATATAATTTTGGCCATTACTGCACGTTAAATGATCTTAAAATAATGTTTCTTTTTTTCAGATGGAATAGCACGGGCTGGAGCAGCCGGTTTCAGCGAACTTAGAAACGCGGTTTTTGCGAAGGTCGCGCAGCACTCTATTCGCAAGATCGCGAAGAACGTTTTCGTGCATCTGCACAATCTCGATATGGCTTTTCACTTGAGCAGACAGACCGGCGCTTTATCGAAGGTGATGCGTGCAGCTCAACTTTCATTCTCTAGTCGAAAAAAATAAAAAAAGAAGAATAAAGACTTATTGTCGCCAGTAAATAATTAACCAATGTAGGAAATTAATAATCGACACAACTGGCAAATTCTAATCGAAGAAATTTATTGCTAAATATATTACCTCAGCCAGGGTTTGAATCTGGACCTCCCTACCGTAGTTTGATAAACGTTCGTGTCCTTTTCAGACAATCGATCGTGGCAGCCGCGGTATTAATTTCGTTTTAAATGCCATGGTGTTCAACGTTGTGCCTACAGTATTCGAGCTAGCACTAGTCAGCGCGATATTGGGGATAAAATGTGGAGCGGAGTACTCGGCCGTAGCGTTGGGATGCGTAGGCGTTTACACTGTATTCACATTATCCGTGACACAGTGGCGCACCAAATTCAGAATACGTATGAATCAAGCGGAAAACGAAGCGGGCAACAAAGCGATAGACTCGCTCATCAATTACGAAACAGTAAAGGTCAGTAATAAAATGTATATGTTGTTTCAATTTTTAACAAATTTACACGTGTATCTCCTGCCTTAGTATTTCAACAATGAGAAGTTCGAGGCGGAAAGATACGATCAATCTTTGAAGAAATACGAAACGTCGTCCCTCAAGACCAGCACGAGCCTAGCGATGTTGAACTTCGGGCAGAACGCCATTTTCAGCGGCGCGCTGAGCCTAATCATGGTACTGGCGGCGCAGAATATCGTAAACGGTGAGACCGCAGTTGCTATCGAATTGTAGAACACTTCGGAAACAACTGAAGCTTATATCTTTGTGTCTTTTTTTGCACAGGCACTATGACTGTCGGTGACTTGGTGATGGTAAATGCCTTGCTGTTCCAGCTTTCGGTTCCTCTAGGTTTCCTAGGCTCTGTCTATCGGGAAGTAAGACAGGCCTTCATCGACATGCAAACTATGTTTATTCTCATGACAACGGACACCGCGATTAAAGTAAGATTATTTGGATGCGAAGTATTGAGAGTCTCATCTATCGTATCTGTAAAATGGCTCGCATAATCTATTACCTCGCGAACAATTGCGTTAATCTTCGGGTCTGTGTTGACAGTCGAAGGAAAATGCACTGAGATTTCACGTGGCACCAGCTTCGTCGGAAATTCAATTTAGAAACGTAAATTTCCAATACGTCGAGGGGAAGCCTATTTTTAAAAACGTATCATTCACTATACCGAGTGGCAAGAAGGTGGCTATAGTGGGAGGATCTGGTTGTGGGTAAGGTATTAGGTATACATGTATATATATGAATTGTTTAACACATAGACTACTGAAACAAGTTCATCAATAATCAACAACTATTGATAAACATTACTTGATACATTTTTTCCAGCAAAACCACAATTGTGAGATTATTGTATAGATTTTACGAACCGCAGAGCGGCAATATTTACATCAATGGTCACAACATTCGAGATGTCGATTTAGAAGACCTCAGACAATGCATTTCAATTGTGCCCCAGGTAAAAGCACCGTGCCTTCCTCCTGATAATCAAAGCTACGATTCGACGCTCAAGTGCCGCGGCGTGTTTCTTTTTTACAGTATATTTTAAAAATTACAGGACACAGTGCTCTTTCACGAAAGTATATTCTACAATCTGCACTACGGTAATCTGAGAAAGTCACGCGACCAAGTTTTCGAGGCCGCGAGGATGGCCAATCTACACGACGCGATACTGAAGTGGCCGCAAGGATACGACACGCCCGTCGGGGAACGCGGCTTGAAATTAAGCGGAGGGGAGAAGCAGAGAGTTGCCATCGCCAGGGCAATTTTGAAGAACAGTCCTATATTGATCTTCGACGAGGCTACTTCCTCGCTGGATTCCATTACGGAACACGCAAGTTTCCAAAGTCACGCTGTATTTTGTCGTGCCATTTAAATATCTCGCTATTCTTTTATCACGGTTTCTTTTTACAGAATATACTTGATGCTCTGCGCAAAGCGACGGAGAAGCGGACTTCGATCGTGATCGCGCATCGTTTGTTGACAGTCATGGATGCCGATGACATACTTGTGTTAGATCAGGGTAATTTGGTCGAGAGGGGCACGCACGATTCGTTGCTGTCTGTACCGAATTCTTTCTACCGCAAATTGTGGGAGACTCAGTACTTAGGCATGAAGAGATCGCAGGAACAAGAAGAAAAGAGTGAACAGTCGAATTAAAGATAGTATAATCTAGGTAAAGATACCGTTTATAAAAGGTGTTGTTTTATAATCGGAATTTGACAGTGGGACGAGAAGAATGTCGCGGATGATGATAAAGTATTTTAAAGCTGTACATACAAGTACGAGTATTAGTGCGAAGATAAGCGACGATATTTGTTACAAGATCAGTGTACAAAACCAGTGTATATATTTGTTGTTACATAGTAATAAATGTTAAATAGCCTCCTCCGTTGTGTACATACATTCTCGCGAGTAGTTCAGTCAGTTGTCAACAAATTACTTCAGAATAATTTGTACACACCTAAATCAACCAGACGTTTCCACGTCTTGTAATATATCTCGAAACTTTGTGAAAAATGTACATAGTTTATATTGTTCGAAATATAATTTAACTGTAAATAAAGTGTGAGTATGGTTTTTCTCTGCTGGTATGTAACTTTTTACTTTGATGGGAAAATGTACTGATATATTTGCAGTAAACGTCATCTGCGAAATGTGCTCAGGGTAGAAGCAAAGAGGCCACTGTACTGAATGTATAAATTTTGTATTTATGGTACCAAGTTGAACTGCATTGAATAAAGAAATCATGTCTAAAATGCTTCAGCCTTAAAATTTCGGTAATTCTAGATTAACGAGAGGCATTGATCACTAATGCTCGCACTGCTCGCGCAGATGTTGCCCTGGCAACCCTTTGAAACAATGATGGTCGCCGACCAGCCTGTGCCGAGCGCTTGACAGTTCTCTGACAATTTGATACTGTAACGATGGATTGTACGCGATCGCAACGCGAGTTGTAGTACGCCGCGTATAAATAGAAAATGCAAGCTGAAGCTTCTATCTTACCAGTAGTACAACTTGATGTGCACAGAACAATCGCCAGGTAAACTGAACCCTGAGGGTATCAATGTGAATCGTGACGTAATATTAGACGAGAGGATGGAGCGTGTCAAATGAGTTCGATGCGTGCGTTTTAGATTAAGAAGATACTGTTCTTATCTGTCGAATACATGATGTATGTATGAATTGTAGGAAAACAAAGCCCTGCTCGAAAGACTCGAAGACGCTGGAGCCCAAGAAGCTGTCTCCTTGCAGAGATACGTTACTTTCGTCGAGCAAAAAATGTTTAAACCCCTTGATCGGTTTGTATAAAGATTCGTCTAGGCGCACTCGTTGTTTCATAATGTCTATTGCGTCGTATATCGTACAGGTGCGCCATATAGAGGCAGCATGAAACAGCAATCGCTGTCGGACGAGCCAAAATCTAGCAATAAGAGTACCCTCGGGCAGAGGGTGATGTCTGCGAAAATGCTCCGTTTCAAGCAACTGCAAAATCAATTAGCCGACGCGCACTACCATCTCAATGTGAGCACGGAAACAACGTCAATGTTTATATATTTAATACGCGGCGAGTTTTCTCTGAAAATTTGTCCCGAACGTTATACAATCGTGGGACAGTCTGGCATTTCAAGGAACTTTATGAGAATTAAAATTGGAAATGTTATCTCGCCAGTGATAAAAAACCAAAAAACTCGGATTTGGATCGACCAAGGCTGGCAACTTTATTTTAAATTATGTTAACACGACGTTTCGGCCAGTAATACTGGTCCTTTTCAAGTGAATCCTATTGCTTGTGGCAACGAAGCATCTTTATGAGAATTCTCTGAAATTTTGCCGTACACTTGCTAGTAAAATGCGTAAAATACTAACTGCAATTGGTAAAATTTAAAAGACTCTCGTAAAATTCTTCGAAATGCCACATTGTCTCACGATTACACGCTGTGCTGAAGATATTTATTTAACATAAACTTAATTTCCCCGCAGGAGCTGGCGAACGAAAACAGATTATTGAAGGCGTTGCAGAAGAGACAGGATTCCGCGTTGAGACGCTACGAAGGGGCAAATGCCGAGCTGCCGAGGCTCATAAATTCGCATCACGAAGAATTAAGGGTGCTCCAAACGAAATATAAGAAACTGAAAGAGCTGCACAAGGATACGTGCAACCTGCTGAAGGAGAAAGAAAACGAACTGTATTCCGTGAACGTGAGTTTCTCGATTCGCGCATTTGTACAAGTTTTTTGTTTCATTTTAACGCGTGATTTCGCCAATGTTTCCTCACAGTCGCAAAATAAGCATCTGCTGCAACTCAGTAAAGATCGTAATCTCGAGGAGAGAGAAAAATTGCAGTTACAATTGTCCGACATGAATTACAAGGTGCGACAGCAACAAGAAACTATACAGGTAACGTCCAGCTTTTGTTCTTAAAACTAGGCTGTTTTCAAAAGTTTTATATTTACGTGTACAGCAGAGGTAAAGCGTGCTTATTACGTGAGGTCTTTAATTAAGTATCTCCTTTTCAGCTGTTGCACAGAAAACTTGCTCTCGAGACCAAGAGCCTGAAGCATCAATTGCACATCGAGATTTCTAAACACAAGGAGACACAAAAGAACTTGCAGGAGACGATAGAGAAATTGAAAAGCTTGGAGTGTTTGCTAGACAATAAAGAAAAAAGGTTGTATTACAATGGTCAATTGCCAATTTATAGCAAGGAGAAAAATCTAGGTAGCCACTCTCTTACAAATCTCAGAGATATCAGGTACAAAAATCACACTTATCACATCTTTTCGCTTAGTAGTATATAAAGTAAATTCTTTTATATACATGTTCTGTATTTTAGCAGAGGTAAAAGAAACGAAAATAATACGCCAAAGGATAATTTGGTGAGTGTACAGTAATCTGTATATGATTAAATACAAAATAACTAGGCATTGACGAAAATTCCATAAATGTAATATAATTTCAGCCGTCACTTGACATATTGGAGTCTAATGACGATGATAAAGTAACTCGACCAACGGGTAATGTTAATCACAATCGTTCGATAGATCAGCTGAAGTCAGAAACAATGGCGAGTCTGCAACAGATACGAAAGTTTCGTTTACAAAGATCACCGCACATACGTAAAAATGCTTATTCGATGGACGACTTGAGATTCAGGCCAAAAGATCTAGAAACGGAAGCGCGTGATGACGACAAAGTTACATCGGTAGACTATAAGGCAGTGCTGGAGAGAGACGAGTTAAATGACGTGCCAAGTGAAAGTGGCAAATTAAGGAAATTCTTTAGAATAAAACGTCAGAATTCACAAAACTTACAAAGAGAGTCGAGGGCTGAACTCGATTATTCATCCGATGACGGAGAGAGCGGGAATGCTAGTGAATATTACATTCAGTCTTACGACACCCCGAAGAAATCTAGAGAATTGTTCGCGAGGTATGTGTGTTACAAAAATATATACAGGATGTCTCATTTTAAATGTTCCACGCAAATATCTTCGAAAATATGAAAGATACGGAAAAACGTTTCAGACAAAAATTGTTTGGTTCCAAGGGGGACATAAGGTAATGCCTTTGACTTGACTTTGGATAGTCATTTGAAGGTCAAGTGGAGGTCATCTTCAATTTTTAAACTGGAACCCCCTATTGTTTATTATACTGTTTTGTTCTGCTAATTAATATGAACGACTTTTGTCTGAAACATTTTTTGATTTGCCTGATACTTTTTGAGATATTCAAGAGAACGTTTATAACTTTCTCAACGTTTAACTTACAATATCTCGATAACTGTTTGTCGGAGGGAAAAGTAGTACAGGACTTTTTTTACTTGATTTGGTCTCAGGAATATGCTCAGTTGCAATACGTTGTTCAACAAAGTGTTTCACTTATTGAGAATTTTTGTGTTGTAACATGTAAAATTTACATAGACAAAAATTTTCAACAATTGGAGCACTTATTGTATCTGTTATAGATTGATTAACGTTGTATCTGTTATAGATTGATTAACAGCACAGATGACACCTCTGACACCTTGGACGACATGATGAAGAAGGCAGAGTACAGCGATGAGGAGGTGGAAAAAGATTTAAACACACGTCTAGCAAGAGACTTGACCTTTCAAAGATATAAGAGTAAATCGAACGTATCACATCGTAGGAGCAACGATCTTTATGATAGCACCTCGGACGTTGATCCCGAAGAAACAATAAATACAAATAGGGATTCTTCCATTGAATACAAAAGCAATGGCTTTCAAACCAGTTTATCCAAGTGCGCCAAGGAGCAGTTTGGTAAAACCTCTAATGACGTTGCTCGTTCGGAATACAACGCTTTGGACGTCGCGGAACAGTCTGTTGAGAGGTCGAAGGACCCACAGCTGCAGAGGATATCCGACAACACTCCGGATGACGTTAACAACGAAAATACGGGGATTCCTCGACGATCTTTAGACTCAAGCAAGATGTGGCTGGACAAGCGACAACTTTTGGAAAATAACGGAACGGACAATTCCTCCACAGACACGAAAAAGGAAGATTACGCAAAAGAGGAAGGAACAAAACATCTAGAAGATGAGTCAGTATACGCTGATATGTCAAATGGCCAGGTTCATCACGGTATAGAAAACGCACGTAAAGAAATGAAAGACTCGCTCGACTCGGAAGAGAAGAGCTCGCAGCAAGCTTGCGAAGAAACTGTGAACCGGTTGGTGGACGATCAACCGGTGCACAATTTGGAAAGAGAATATCTTGATCCCAAAACGGACAAAATACCCAGCGACGAAGAAACGTTAAACAGAAATGACGTTAATATAGAAACCCAGAATAAATTGAACGCATCGGAAGCTGCCGATGCGTTGTCCAACGATGTTCCTGTAGCTCGGGCCGAGCGGGGCGATGGCGCGAAAAGCGAGACGACGGTGACGAGACGAGCGAGCGAGAAGAAGAAGATCAATTACAACAAAGAGAAGCTGTTAGCCACGATGAGAGCTATCGACGACAACGAGAACATCGAGTTCCTGGAGCAAGGGTTTAGGAATCATAACGTGAACAGAATGCAGATAATGGAGAATCTACATCGTGGCTTACCCGCGCACTCGAAGCCGAGGCGTGATATCATTAGAGATATATTCGAGGACAATCACATAGAAAGTAAAGTCAGAAGCACCTGTAGTAAATCGCATTGAAATTTTAGACATTGTCGCATTAAGGATCATAATATAGATAGCACGAGATTTACCTTTCGTCTCGCTTTCGTTAATTCCGTTCAACTTTATCGCGCGGACCTTGTCGACAAATGAAATGTATAAAGAAGAAATATATGCATTATATATTTTTCCGATGTATTGAGATTTGAATCGACTCGTCTGAGGATGCCGTTGCGATGAATATTAGATACATTTCTTTAAAAAATGAATAACAAACGAGCAACGTATTTTACTTAATGCCTTAAAATAAAGCGAGGTACATGTTGGTTTTTAATGAATAAAGCAAAGAAAGTTTCGATAAACGCACGGTTTATGGAACGTTTATTTTTCAAGAAGTTAGACTTTCGTTTTCAAATTGGTTGCTTGCATTGTGTTTTGTATCGATTGTCTCGTGTATGAACTGTAAAGATTCAATTATATGAATACATACCCTAGCGGAAAAAATTTCTATAAATAACTACAAAAAATTGACTTGAAATAGAAATTTGTAGAAATTTTTATATCTTCGTTGGAACATTTATTTCTTTGTAAAAATATCTATAAAATTGTATCGCAAATTACAATGTTCTCAAATCAAGAGATTATTGCAAGTAGTATTTCATGAAAATGTACAATTTTGTAAAAATTAGTACAAAACTTTACTAGTTTTAAAAATTTGAGAAACAACGAAATCGTAAGGAATTGAAACATCTGTTTACTTGTAGAATATTACAAAAATTAACAAAAGTGTTTCAATTCTAGCATTTTTATGTTGATTTTTATAAAACTTTTTAAATTTACGTAGAATTTCTTAGATTCCGGCATTGTTATATTTAATTTTTTTGTAGAATTTTGTAGAATTATTTCCGGCAGGGTATATAATTATATATTTCTGCTGGAAATATTTTACTGAAAATACTAATAAGCTCGATAAAGGGTGAAATAAAAGTCATTGAAAAATTACTTAATGTATCTAATAATAAATTATAATGTTTCTTATGAAATTCAATATTTAATTCTTAATACAAAAGTACAAGTTTACTATGAAACAAAACTGATCGCTCCAGCGTGCAGTACGGGCAGAAGGTACAGATACCTCGATTACACTTGCAATGTTAAATGTATAAAAGTAACTTGTCAAAGAGAAGCATGAAAATTACTTAAATAATTTTAGTTCTTTAATGACGTTTGGCCTTTATGCGGAAACCCCGTCTTCTTTAAGCGTAAACAAAGTATATGTATACAACATAACCGTACAAGTGGTACGTACAAGGTACATACATACGAGCAGTCGTCAGTTGGTGGCTCGACGCGCAACAGGGCCGATTGTCAACATGTCACGGACGGGAACGAAGCTCGACGCGAAGAAAGTGGTAAGTGTCGCGTTATCTCGTGCGAAAGAAATATTTACCGTCAGTTCGCCGCTGGTGCAGAGTTCACACGATACTCTCGCGTTCGTATCGAGCGCGAGATTATCGTCGAGCGGAGTTTCGAGGTTATGGCTGTGCATCCTTCCGCGGGATGTGTCTTTTAAGACGGAGTCTTTAAACATTAGGGGACTCCAGTCTGGCAGAATTGTTGGCTTGCAATTTTTTTTTAGTAAAAATACTCAAATTTACAACGGCGCATTTTTCCACAATTCTCGCACACCAAGGCCTGTTTATAGCCAATTCTTTATATTTAACTTTGCCTTGAATACACGTTCAAAGAGTATTTAGTCGAAAAAGGGTCCGTACGAACATTGTGCAGACCATTTTTCTGGCTGAAAGATATTGCAAGAGGTATTTAAGGCGATCCTTAACCCTAGAACGCACATGTGATTTTTTTTACCTTCTAACGCACAACATGGGTCAATATCGACCCCCTTTTTTTATAATTGTAAAACCGGTCCCACAGAGATAAAGGGCCTTAATAGTACATGAATTTCTTCGTTTTTTAATAAAGAAGAGAATGGTATGCGATAAATTTAGTTTCACTCAAGTTTAGAAAAATTTATTTAAAGACCGAACAATGCAGAAAATCAGCAAAAACCTCATTTTTTAAACAAAAATTTGTATCTTTTTTGTAATCAACCGATTTTCGAAATTCAACCGGGGTTTTAAAGAGGACACATTAGACTATTGGAAAAAAATGTCATCGCTATGTTCTATTCAAAAACTATACATATTTATTTAGGACTATAAAAATGAAGAAATTCGCAAAGTTGAAATATGGAAAAAGTCGAGGAAAAAACCATAAAAAATTGTATTTTAAGTATTATTTTATTTTTATTTTATACAAAATAGTAAAAAATATGAAAAATGCTGATATGGGTCTCAAATTATATCGCCCAGCCATTTTCTGCGAAACGTCAATCTTCTATAGGCAACGGGATTTTTACCAACTAAGTTGTATGATATTTCGTCTTAAATAATATTTATGACTATTTATGCTCAGATTACGTAATAATACATGAAATATATTGATTTTAGCAAAAAATATATAATTAGTTTACCGCTAAGAAACACAAACGGCAATTGCCAATTGGGGTCAATATCGACCCTACGCACCCTTTGCGATGCTGCTGCGTCACTGCCAGCGAACATCTCGCTGCGACCGACATAGCTCTACTTTTAGAGAGTTGAAATGAATTATGGTCCTGAGTCGATAATGCCACTCGCTAGCTCAGGAGCGTAGTTCAAAGTTCGCCGAGGTTCGGAAACGACCCACGTTGTGCGTTCTAGGGTTAAATACAAGAGCTGACTATAGACAAGTCTCGGGGCCCGGTTTCGCTAAGGTCCAGTTTCACAAACGTCGGTTAACTGTTAACCAGAGTTCAGTCGACTTCCTATCTTTCTCTATCTTGTTGTCCAAGAAGAGACAGAGGATCAATTAACCATGGGTTAGCGGTTAAACGTGCGTTTGTGAAACTGGCCCTAAGGGTCGCTCAACTTTAATCTCAGTTTAATTCACGTCTGTCTCTTTCTGAAGTAACAGTTGGAAAGAGACAAAGGGTGCTTTCCAGCAATGTACACAAGCGACACCGTGTAACACAGTGTGCGATCAGGTGCTTTCCAACTACGACACAAATCAACACAATCGTACGCAGCTAACAAGCTGAGTTGGACCGTGTCGCCTCTCCACAATGCCACAACATTCTTACATTTGGTGCCACTTATTTAGTTTATTTGGTACCACTTATTTAGATAAGCTACGTGAAAGAATTACTCTACACCCTGGCGGTAACACAAAAAAGCTAAAAAAGCATTCCAGCTACAAGTCGACACTGTGTAACACTGTGTTACACAGTTGTTCCATTGTTGGAAAGCACCCACTGGGCGTTTTCCAGCACTGTGAATCATTACATCCTTGTTGTTTGCCAATGTTAAACAAGAATGAAACGATTCACTGTGTTACACTGTGTCCTTGCTGGAAAACGCCCTGCAATAGCGCACTGGGTGCATACTAAGGCTTGTTCACAGTCAACTTTTATATTGAAGTTCTTAAATACATGTTCAAAAACCACGTAGCAAAAAAACGTACGTATGCTACGTAGATTTGATTAAAAAGGCAAAAAGTATTTCAAGAGGTATTTAGGGCGATCCTTAAATATAAGAATTGACTGTAAACAAGCACCTCAGTGCGCACTCAGTTCTTATGGATTGGGTTGTCTCGCTAATAGCGTTAACCTCGAGTTGAATTCGCAACCAACACTGGCTCTCTCGCACGTTACAGAACTCGGAACTGTTCACCCTGACCTACGGCTCGCTCGTGGCCCAGTTACTCCAGGACTATGAGAACGTGGAGGACGTCAACAAGCAGCTGGAGAGAATGGGATACAACATCGGGATACGGTTGATAGAGGACTTTCTCGCGCGCACCGGCTCCGGCCGCTGCTACGACTTCAGGGACACGGCGGAGAAGATTCAGAGCGGCTTCAAGATATTCCTCGGCATCACGCCGTCGATCACGAATTGGAGCCCAGCCGGCGATGAGTTCTCCCTGTGCTTCGAGACGAATCCGCTGACGGAGTTCGTCGAGCTGCCGGACAATTATTCGAGTCTCAAGTATTGCAACGTGCTGCCGGGCGTGCTCAGGGGAGCCTGCGAGATGGTGCAGATGGAGGTCGCCTGCTGGTTCGTGCAGGATCAACTTAAGAACGACAACGTGACCGAGCTGCGCGTCAAGTTTGTCAAGAGGCTGGAGGACGCGATACCGGCGGGCGAGGATTGAACGGACGAATATCCGCGATGTCGTTTTAACGATAAAAGTATCTTGTATCTCTAGGCTTAAAGTATATTGTAACAATTAGGCGTGGATCTCCGTCGCTTGCATTCCGCAAAACTTTCGGTTAAAAGTAATATATGGTTGATACTCTCATGTTCATTGATGTAATGTCGCACGACAGTGAGGCAATACATACCGAATTTGTTTACACTCGTCTCCCGAGTTATTTCCTACCCTACGATTAAAACACTGTATCTCTTTCGTGTATGATACTTTGTTTTATCCTCTTGTTTGTAGTCGAAAATTCTCTTCCTCTTTGTGGGTGATAGACAAGTAATCTTGCGAACAGCGATCCGTCCGTCCGGTTTAGTTTCGTTTCCAAACTGTTTGACGCGAGAAAAGTTGGGGAGTTGATATTTACTGTGGTTTTGCACTCCTTCCTTCGTTATCTTAATTATACAGGGTGGGGAAAAAGTCCCGGACCAGTCAAATGTTTCGAAAACAAAGCATTTTTGAAAAAAATGTTATATACAAAAGTTGTAGGGTTTTATGTTATGCATCAGATAGTGATATTAGTATGACCTTGAATAGCGTTGTCAAGGTCACGTGAAGGTCACATCCAATTTTTTAAATGGAACATCCCACTTTTTATTGCACATTCATGCAGCATTCTTCGAGAGCTTTCCAAAACACTGTAACAAAGTATTTTTTTATTAAGTATTTTTCGAGTTATGAAGCTTGAAAGTTACAGTACCGCCAGCATTTGCATTATTCAAGGTGTACCGCGTGGAGGTTGCACGATCGGATTTACACCTGTGT